TGAGATTACAGGCACGCGCCACCATGCCCACCTAATTTTTTGTATTTTTAGTAGAGACGGGGTTTCACCATGTTGACCAGGATGGTCTTGATCTCTTGACCTCGTGATCCACCTGCCTCGGCCTCCCACAGTGCTGGGATTACAGGCTTGAGCCACCGCACCCGGCCCGGTCCTATTATTTCTAATATAACTTATCTATGTGAATGAAAGTAACAACATAGTATGACTAACTGTATACTTTAGAAATCCACATTTAAATATTTATGGGAATTTTGTCTTCAGTCAGTAATTTCCTTGCAAATGGTTCAGCAAAAAAATATAAGCAGTCATGGCAATCCTGGTGGAAGGTACATAAGAATTCATTAAGGCCGGGCGCAGTGGCTCAAGCCTGTAATCCCAACACTGTGGAAGGCCGAGGCGGGTGGATCACGAGGTCAAGAGATCGAGACCATCCTGGTCAACATGGTGAAATCCTGTCTCTACTAAAAACTACAAAAAATTAGCTGCGCGTGGTGGCGCGTGTCTGTAGTCCCAGCTACTCAGGAGGCTGAGGCAGGAGAATTGCCTGAACCCAGGAGGCGGAGGTTGCGGTGAGCCAAGATCGCGCCATTGCACTCCAGCCTGGGTAACAAGAGCGAAACTCCATCTCAAAAAAAAAAATAATAATTCATTATACTGTTCTGTATGTTTACATATTTTCTTGAAAACATTGAGGGGAAAAAAAATGATCCTATGACAGATCTACCTGGATTTGCGAAGTAGTTTTGAATGTTAATCTTCTCAGCTTTTATAACCAAGAATAAAAGAATGGTTCTATTATGCTAAGATATGGTATGATCTGCCTAAGAGTTCTGATAATTCAAAGCACACATCTCAGGATAGTATATATATTTCCAGCCTGCCAGCTTTGAAATTACTTGTTCATTCTATTTGTAATTTAGAAGTCATTTCAAATTTTACAAATACAATGTCATTTTTTATATTATTTCCAATGTAAATTCAATGTGGCTACACTGTGGTCTTCAGCACTCTCCCCAAATATCAAAAACCACTCTTGCTACAAAGTTCACCAAAATTTGTAATTCACAAAAAAGAATTAAAAAAGAAGTGAAAAGTGTTCTAGATTTGTTCTTTTCAATGTGCTTACCAGCTTGGCCCAACATGGTGAAATCCACAATAAATATTTAAATGTCGATTTCTAAAATATACAGGTATTCATACTATGTTGGTACTTTCATTCACATAGTAGTAGGGTGAAACTATTTGTAGCTCCCAGATGGTGATGATGCTATGCTAGAGCACAGCCTATTTATTGAATAGAGGCCAACATTTATTCACAAGACTTCATTTCCTTATTAGCGGTTTTAAAAATAAATTTTAAATAAAATAAATTTTATCAGTGATCTCAGACGGAGCATGAGCTGTACCAAAGTGTGCTCTGGTCTCTTAAGATAATCCTTGGGGCTGGGCATGGTAGCTCACAACTGTATTCCCAACACTTTGGAAGGGAGAGGTACGCAGATCACTTGAGGTCAGACCAGCCTGGCCAATACAGTGAAACTATCTCTACTAAAAATTCAAAAACTAACCGAGCGTGGTGGCAGATGCCTGTAATCCCAGCTACTTGGGAGGCTAAGGTAGTAGAATCACTTGAATCCAGGAGGCAGAGGTTGCAGTGAGCCAAGATCATGCCACTGCCTGGGCAACAGAGTGAGACTCCATCTCGAAATTAAAAAAAAAGAATCTCTGGAGACACATGTATTAGAAAAAGCAGTCTTTCTCAGATTTTAGAAATACTATGCTTTTCTTATTGCTCAGCAACACCCCAGTAGGATCTGAAGAAGCACACACCTATCACCTCAAGTATTTCTGCAGAAATACATAAATGTGTAATAAATGTCACATATAGAACATAAATAAGCTCACATCAGTTGAGATTGGGTTTTCTTGCCAAATGAGTCTATGTCAAATGCAAAATTTGTCAGATTTATGAATTTCTAAATTATAGATAAAAGATTTTAGACAGGTATAACAAAATAATTTAGCAGTCCAGAATCATTTTTCATAAGGATATCTGTCGTATAAGCACCGCGTGTTAAATGATTGCGCCACTGGAGCATGCTAACAAGGATATCTGAATTAAAGTTACTACACATTCTCTCCAACAGCTAAAAGAAGAGATTATACCTAAATTTCAAAATAAAATGCATATAGTAATTTTATCACCAATGAGAATAACCATAAGACCCCCACTCTTTTTAATTTTTTTCTTTTTTTTTTTTAGACGGGTTTTCACTATATTTGTCAGGCTGATCTCGAACTCCTGACCTCAGGCGATCCGCCCGCCTCAGCCTCCCAAAGTGCTGGTATTACAGGGGTGAGCCATCACAACCGGCCTAAGACCCTGACTCTTAAGTTCAAAATGGACCTTTAGTAAACAACACTTCCATAATTTCAGACAGAAGTTACTACATTAGCAAAAGAACAAAGACAAGTAAAACCCACCAAACCCCTGCAGAAATAAAACAGCATTGGGGGATACCTTACTCAGTTTTCAGAGTAGTATTTTGATATAAATGGATTTGTTGGGGTTTTTTTTGAGGTAAGAGTTTTGCTCTGTCACCCAGGCTGGAGTGCAGTGGCATGATCTTGGCAAACTGCACATTTGCCTCCTGAGTTCAAGTCATCCTTTAGCCTCAGCCTTCCACAGGGGTGCACCACAGCACCCAGGTAATTTTTCTGTATACTTAGTAGAGGTGGAATTTCACCATGTTGTCCAGACTGGTCTTGAACTCCTGGCCTACAGTGATATGCCTGCCTCGGCCTCCCTAAGAGCTGGGATTACAGGCATGAGCCACACTAGGCCTCTATATACATTTAGAATTAAAATACTTCAATTACTAAATGTTTTTGGTGGGATAATTGTGGTTAAGTCCTATTTCTTTTAAAAATAGACACTGGGCCGGGTGCAGTGGCTCAAGCCTATAATCCCAGCACTTTGGGAGGCCGAGGTGGGTGGATCACGAGGTCATGAGATCGAGACCA